TGTAAAAGAAATAACTGTAAAAGAAATAACTGTAAAAGAAATAACTGTAAAAGAAATAACTGTAAAGGAAATAACTATAAAGAAAATAACAGTAAAGGGAACAACTATAAAAGAAAAAATATAAAATGAAGAAAAGAAGCGGCATGGTTGTTAGCCAGAGCATTAGAAAAATGATTAAGATTGCATACACCAACAGGGAATTGGCAACCGTAAAAAGTACCAAGTACGTCTGGCACAAAAAACTAAAAAATTATGACGAACTGCAATGAGTTTCTCGGCGTACCTATCCCCTACCAAAAAGGCATGAAGCAGTTTTTGGCTTAAATCGGCAAATGGCGGTATCTGTGTTCAGTTTGATGAATAAATGTATCGTATCACACATACTCTCTGATTTTCAAAAGCATAAATTCTAGGTACTCACAGTAAAGACACTGGATTCATCGCCGGCATTACGCAAACCCATAAGTAACCGTTCACGTTCAGTTTTTTCAATAAATTTTTTCTTCTTATATTCTATGGTATCGTGTGGCCACTCCAAATCCTAAAACATCCTAAAAAACATTAGACGGCTCTATTTTTCCGCGTGTTTTTTTTCTCGATTTCCATGGATTTCGAAAAAATACTCATCTCTGCTTTTCTCAGCGGCTTGAAAAAATGCCTTCAAAAGTCGCAGCCCCAGCCACAATGCGTACCTCCGCGTGTAATACAGAGCAACATGTAGACAAGGTTCTGAGGCCAAGAGCAACAAACCGACCCATCGACTTCATCTTAATTCTCCATAAATCGGAATTTTAATACTTCTTATGCATGAACCAGAGCAAAAAAGTCCCCCCCCCCCTCCTCCCCCTCCCCAGTTAATTTTATCCGAGTATCCTCTACTTCTGAATGCTTTGGTCATGCTATTATGTCAAGAATCTCCAACATATTTCGAAGCAGCTACGAAAGAAAAAGTCATCGACAGCCTTACTAACAAGTATGTCTGTTGCAGTGGACATACAGCAATTCAGACTATTTCTGAGGGCCACCACCTTTCATAGAAGGTAAAATATTTTTTGACGAAAAACGTGGAGAACGAAGAGGAGGGGTGAGTGATGAGAAGAAGTACAAGAGGCAAATGACTATTTTTTTGGTCAAGTAAACAAAAGATTAACCGTTTTTCTGATTGGAAAAAAAAGAACCTTTATCATAAGTCCAAATGCAACAAGAAGTGCAAGAAGAGCGCCAATGCCAGCAAGTGAAATGCGCCAACCAAAATTCATAAAAAGCTGAAAAAGGGCACAGAGATGATAAGATTTTCGAGAATCTTTCCTATCTGAGTGTTTCTTATGTCATGCAGAACCATACAGCTTACCATTAGCCTAAAACTGAAAAGTCGTAGTTCCACAAAAAACCAAAACAGAAAATAAACAACGATCACAGTTTGGAGTAATCAAAAACAAACCATTTCAATCAAGGGTGCAAGAACAAAAGTACCCGCGCCAGAACCACAAACAGCGATACCCGTTGCAATGGCTCTTTTCTTCTGTAAAGAGATCACAGTGTGCAAAAATATTAGAAAATTTGAATGCTTCAAGTGATGATAATGATCGATAATAAATGACGAATTGGTATGAGAATGCTTGATGGGAGATAACAAATATGCAAGATAAATTAGAACCGATGGATGTCATGTGCAAGCGAATGGTACTCGCAAAAAAGTGAACCAAAGAACTGAGGCATACCCACTAATTGGAATAGTGGAGTAAAAAGATTGGAATTAGGTGTCATGTATAAGATATTTCATAATGCAGTCTCTGTGTTTCATCCCTTAGCTGTATACACAGACCGAACAGTGCATCCGGGTAGGAGTGGGAATCGCCAGTACAGCCTCCTATCCGCCATGTATTGAAAAGACATGTAACTATTTGCAAGAAGGATAAGTGAAAGAGAAGAAGAGAAAGTGTACTAGCATGGAAGTAATAAAAGTGATGGAGCAGATGGAAGGGGAGAAAACTAACATATGAGACGAGTAATAATTCTATGTAAATTATGAGGGGGCAACATTCATGAAAATAACCTACTAACTAAGTTTTTAATTCCTACATCATCAGGGTAGATGAATTTACTAA